GGGACTGCCGTAGCAACGGACGGATAACATGGAGTTGTGCTAAGATACTCGCAACGCTCTCATTAACCAGCGGCGTCTGTTTTTAAGCAGTCTTTGGAGGGATAATGACGTTGGTTATAGCACAAAGCTGTTCATTTACAGAGCCTACATTACGTATACTTTGCTATGTGGTTTAACGACGGCAGCGATTGACAGGTCTGACAATGGAAAATCGAATTGCACGAGCGAAGGAGTTGTAGATTTTTTAAATCGGTGTTAGCAGTGATGTTGTATAGTGTGGTGTGAAACACTGTCGTTAGACAGAGAATACGATGCGCAATAAAGGAGATCGACTAACTGTAGTCTAGGCGTTCGAGACGACTGATGGATAGCAGTTATAAGCGACCTTTGAATAGCAATCTCTTTACAATACGAGTAACCTAATGACAGGCGGCCACTAGAAATACCCTGAACGAGATGGCATCGTTACCTTAACAACTAACACACTATCGAAGAAACTAAACATTGAGTGCATTTGTTCGATTTTTGTAGAATATCTGTACGAAGAGATAAGAAGTGTAAGATGAGAAGTGGAAGAAGGATAAATGACCAATAACGCTTAGAGTCTTTATGTTTTTGGTAACTATGATGATTTGACATGTCAGTGTTACAGAGGTACTCAAAATTGATGCATATCGCAACTACTCTATTACTTTTTGTGATATTCGTATTCGCGCTCTTTAACTCCATGTTTTGTCTTTCACAACGGATCAGCGCAGCTCATCGACGACTTTTCTAATGCTTTATTGCTGTTTCATGATATTCATCTGTTGTCTGCTATCCTCTCGTTCTTGTCAATACCCAGCTGAATGCTCGGCACGTCACTAAATTTACACTGCCAATAAAAATAGGGCACTGACTGACTGTCCGACCGACGACCCATACACTGACCGATTCGCTGCTCCACTTACTCATTGTCTCAGTGAATGACTCGCTCATTCACTGACTCTATTACTGACTGAATTTCCCGAATGTCTCGAGTGTACCTTTGTTTTTAGATTGTCGTTTGTATTCTTTTACTGTATGTTGCTGTTGTGTTTTTTGTTTTTATTTTCTGGTCCAACTGTGCGCATCTGTGTGTTAGTCTCATGTTTTTTTAAATATTTTTTCAAGTATTTTTTAAGGTTAATGTTATTGTTCTATGAAAAAAGTGGTATCCAACAGTGATACTACCCCATAAGTGAAATGATCCTCTTCAGCCATGTAGAACCACCTTCTGTACGATGGGTATGTAAAGATTCGACAGATGAGTGCATGTATGTTTCTGTTGAACGGATTTAACTGTTTGCCGCATGCAGTCAGTTATAAGTTTGATCTGACCTCGCAGTTGTTTTGCACTAGCTGGTGCTCAATTTCTGCTGCTAAACGAGAAAATTTCCTGTTCATGTCTGTGTTGTTTCGTTATTGAGTACCAATCAACGATTGCCAGTGATACTTTTGTTGAATTGCGGTGTTCCCCTATTCTGTGTCGTGAATCGTCTGCATGTACTTGCTAAGAAGGCTTTGCGAAGTTTGTTATTTTTACACCCGGATGATGTAAAATGGCACAACATCGACTTGTTGACAGAAGTCTGTCAAGTCAATTATTCTCAAGCATCTAATACATTGGGATGTTTTATCAGTGAATGTTCAGTTAGCAGTAAATAAAATCAGTTTGACCAAGGCACAGGAGTAATGATTTACTTTGTTTCGTTGTTCTTATTCAAGTGTTATGGCTGCATATTGAATATTCACTTGGCATCATCTGTTTAAAAAATGACAGAAACTAATATGCGGATAATCTATGATGTTGAATGGCTACTTAAGTAATATGAAGATACATCTGTTGTACAAATTTATTCATTTTAAATTATTCAACTAATTCGTCATATGCTGGTAGCAACGCCAGCGTAATAAACTTTGATTGATTGACAGGATGATAGCGCATATTTTGTTTTGTTCTGTGTTCCTATATTGTGTGCTTTGATGTTCTTATTTTGTTTTTTTATTTTCACTGTCACAATTTCTTTGCATTCTAGTAGTAGCTCGGTCTATTAATCTGCTTTGTGGCAAATGATAAAGCAAAGCTATTTGTTGTTCTCCTTGTCATCTTGGGTATCATGATCTAGGATCAATTACCCAGATTAATGATGTCTGACAGTGCTATGCTGCTGCACAGTTTTCTGCTCCCGCTTCCATTCTTACTTTGACCCTTTATCATCTTCTGTACTGGTAAACTTTCTCAGCGCAGCGCAACATCCATAGGTAAACTCGGCTGAATTTGTTTGACGGCTGAAACATTGAAACATTTAGTGTGTGTTTATCGAATACCACATCGGTCGATCAAACGTTGTCTTTTATCCTGATCAAAACCCGACAAAAATATTTGATCATTCGCCTTTTCTACTGGCCGTTACATTTTTCACACTTTAGGACCGTATATGTCTTTCTTCTTTCCAAGGATAAGACTGAAATAAGCAGATAGCCTAACGATAATTATTATCGTTATCATCTGCTTTGTACTACAAAGAATGCAGGTATCGATCTAATATAATATGATAATGATTCTGTGGATTACTTGACGTAATGCCACGGCCACTTAAGTAAAGTTCTTGAATTTAATGGATGAGATTCGAAAAACAGTTTGACACTGCATATCCCAAAGATATCATTAACTTAACTTTCGCTTGCTTGAAAGAATACTTACAATGTTTGGGGGTGATTAATGGCTCATCATAATCTTTTATCTTTTTGAGTATGATGTGAGCGGCAATCGTATATCCAGATTTTTTTTCTTAACCTATCGTTAAAAAACGTAAACTTAAAACAAAGATGGAAAAATTTTACTGACAGTAGACACGTTTCGTTGACAACACCGGCAACCTGATCAGGGCTGAATAATTTAAGAAGTCAATTCGATGTTGTCATACTATAGTAATGAATATGAACATAATTTTAAGTGACATTTGTCTTTCACTCGTATTAGAGAATTCGCAGAATTTGTATCTTTCGTATCAAATTACTGACTGTACCGCAACTTTGATTTATGTTACAGAATAAAGAGTATTCGCTGCATATTTGGTGTTTGTAAGGCAAAATATAAAGGGACCGTTGTTTAATAGCCCTAACCTAGTGCTGCTTCTGTCAGTTACTGAAGCACTCATTTTCCTGTTTGCTTGTCTTTCACATGTAGCAGGCGTGTTATGCCGAAATATTCACCATTGCATTTGCTGACTGCTGTCAGGGGCTCTTTCGCTGATATTAAGCCATCAGTAGGTCCTTCCAGTATAAGTTCCGTTGAAATCACCATCGTATTTTATCTTATAAACTACATTAAGGGCTTCTGCTGGATTTTCTGGATGGTGTTTTTTTAAAAGCAGGCATCCGCAATGTCATGCAATTTTTTGTAGCACACCCTGATCGCCATGTTTATTAGGTATTTTTCATTTTTGATGAAATTCGGGGGTAAAAACGAATGAATATTGTGGATCCGTTTTCACGTAATTTGTTTAAGTTAAAGCTGCAATGCAGTGGCCAACTTTCGGCAAGCAGCAGTTGTGGAGATGATTATTTTTAATTTTTTTCATTTGGACTATTTTTAATGTTGCGCGATGGCGTATATTCTTCTGTGTGTTCCTGATTAACGCCGACTGAGTCAATGGGTGTTCAGTAGATGGAAAATTTAAGCTTCAAGTGGTTCTTATGAAGCGTGTGTTTGCCGTTGCTTAAATTTTGTAGTGGAATTAGGTGGCGACCATTGCTGCCCGTTTTATTCATATGCGTCTTGAATCCGTTTAAGCGTTTGCTCTGTGTCTTTAGAGATGGAGCAGAAATATGATCAGTGAAAAAAGCGTAAAACACTAGGGTTTAAATCCACTCGAGCATTCATCCAAGGCATTCTTTTCCAAGTGGTGTAGGTACAAAATTGCTAGTCGCATTCACCAAGGCCCAAAATCCTATTGTCTCGTTGTATATTTCATGGTATGTCTTATGCGAAAACTTTAAATTCATACCTGCCAGTACAGATCGAACTATACGAAGATCGTCTTCGACTCTTCCACGTTTTTTATACCGCTATTCGATACTTTACATCTGCCGTGTGTTGCAGCATAGCAGACTGGATTTGAATAAATTCATTTTTGCGTTGAAAATCGCCGCTCATCCACCGTCGATGCTATGCGACAACCTCGTGACCTTAGTTACCCGTCACTTTCTTGATAAAAACGTTCTTGACTCCTATATTCTGTTTCTTGACTTAGTGGAAGTTGATTACAGCAACAATTCAGCAGCAATTCTTTTACCATCCACTAAACAATAGTACTTGTTGCAGGAATTAAAATGTGTGGTGTTAAGTCCGGTTAAAGACATTGTGCATTATTCAGTATTATGGAGAATTCGTGAAATGTAGTGTTTAGTTAAAGTATCCTTATTTACAAGTTCCTGTAAAGTGAATTATATAATGAGTAATGAAAAGTTTTCAACGAAATTCTGTTCATGACTTCATCGTTTAACTTTCGATCCGTTAGAATCTGTGAAAATTTGACTTTTGTTTTCTCAGTCACTCACCATCTATGAATTGTTTGATTTAGATCGCTCTTGGTGGACTGAGTACGTCGTGTGAGAACCTCATCAACAGAAAGTTGCCCAAGGAACTGCTACTAAAGTAAGTAAACCACTTATGCCGTCAGTCTAGCGGCATCGTATTTTCAACTAAACCACCTCACCTGCCTTTACGTTTGTAGGATTTTTTCACATCTCGACGTGCTCAGTTTATGCCGATGTGCGCAGGTATGTCGAGCATGGAATTTGTTGGCACTTGACGGAAGCAATTGGCAGCGAGTGGACTTGTTTCAGTTCCAGAAAGACATTAAGGTATATTGATTGTCCGAAGAATTTATGACTGAAGACAACCGACGACATGAGTTTGTGTAATAATTTGATTGAGCATTCGCCGAAGTGCAACACCGGCATTTTGAACCGCAATTGATAGAACTTATACGTTTCATTCACATGATGATTTTGCAATTTCAGTTGGCCATAATCAATTAATCGTCGAACAGACTTCGATTTTTAAAATTAATACAATCAGTAATGGCAATTTACTTTCAAGCAGGATATTTCCTGTCGCCGGTCAGATATCTGAACGTCGAACGCCATTGTTGAAAACACAGATTTTATTTTTTTTTCCGGCTATCAGTAATTTGCCCGGCACGGACCGTATCCATCATTTTGGTTACAGCACACGAAAACATACTTCACACTGAGCGATACATTAAAATTTCATCGTCGAATACGATCAAAGAATTCTGCATGAGCGAATGAAAATTATAAAGTCTCCTGAAGCTAAATAACAAATGATTGCTAGAGTCAATGAAACAAATAAATACCTTTTCGGGAAATCCAGAAACACATGGAGCAATCAACCTGATATTATTACCTCAGTAAAATCATCAAGCACGTTCTTATGTCGGATAGCGCGTAACTCCACCAGAATCACGGAGAATTCATCAGTCCCTGGTGACAGACATATTGCACTATTTTGCCCCCAAGTAGCACCTAACTTTAATCACGAATGATGACTCCGGAGCTTTGTCTCGCATCATTTTGTTTATATGATCCTCTGTATTCTCAACTTTACAATAATTTTGCTATGAGGCACGGTTTACTGCAGCAGCACAAAGTACAGTTTTTCCTTAAACAAATTTGCCCCTTCCTTGTCCCTTCCTGTTTCATACTGATATGCTGATCGACGTCTGTCACGTTTCGGTCCTCATACGAGAAGCTCATGGGCGGAAGTAAATGATTCATGTTCCGGCAGCTTGTCCAAGAGGAAGAACCCCATTTTCCTAATCTCCACGTCTGATGTACCTGGAAGAGTAGAGTTATTCCTTCAGTGGTTCTGCCATTTGACCTTCGTCTTTCGTGGAAACTAAAGTTATTGTACGCAGTTCAACCGTCGTTCTTTGTGCATCGTTAGAATAACTGTTTTCATTCGTACAACGGCATTAACCCGAACCAGTGCAAGTCATATGCTGATTTTTGTGAAAAAAAAAACGTTATTCTTTCCTCGACCAAATTTATTGACAAGTTAACAGAAGCATTAAATGTAGATCGGGTGATGGGCTTAATTAAGTTCTGATTGGAAGATATCACTAGCTAGAGATGATGGAGGCAAAATACCCAAAACATTCAGCCTCTTGAACGGCATCACCCACTTGTTCCATTTGCAGATTTTGTAACCATGGACTTCTTTGCATTTGGTATGCCAGATTTCACGTTTGTTTTACATACGCAATCCCTCAGGTAGCAAAGCACATTCTGCGCATTTCTCACCGGGACAATGTAATCGGCGTTATTCCAGTCAGCTAGATCTGTACCTTATTTAGGTAGTATTTGGGTCAAAGCCAAAGGTAGATGTTTGCTTATTTTCTGATGTTTGTGGCCAACGTTTTGGTCACGCAGTAAAATGCCCCTTTCTTTATAACATGACAGAAATCATATATTAACCTTATAAAAACTCAAGCCGTTGCTGTAAATGGCTGCAGTAGTTCTCAGCCTTCCTCCCGTATGACCCATTGCGTAATAGCTATCGGCCTACTTAGTCGGCACAGAAATGGCATATACGTAATTTCTGAAGAAAATGAATGTACTTTATTCCGAAACACTGATCACAAGATCCATTCGAAACTGTCATGATGTCGTAATTAAGTTTCTCACTCCGGAAATGTGCATTTTTGGTTAAAATTTATTCATTGGAAAAATGCAGGTTACGCAGTATGCCATAATCTTCCGTCTTTATTTCGTTGCGTTTTGTATCGATCAGTTTTAATATATTTATAAGGCCATTGGTCAATCTCGGCAACCATCTGCTAGCTTAATGGATTTGCCAATGTCCAGATAATAGTTTTTGTTTCAGGCTTGCGTTGTAGAGAATTTAGCAAAGCGATTCGGTAGTTTCCTGAAAGTACTCTGTTTGCGAGGTTGTGAAGGCGTGCAAGACGCTGCGATCGAGTAAGTAACGCCGTCGCGTAGTATCCTTTTTCTCTCGAATTCTGGTTATGGGCCACTTTCAGGACTTTCGCCAGAAACTGCAGCTTCATTGAAGAACTGAATTTGGAAAAATGCAAACGCTTGACCGATAGGTTTGATACTCTCTGTTATTAATCTTATAATTGGCAATCTAATTAAAAGTTTACTGTAATTTAGATAATTACGCATGTTTGATATTCCAATTAATTAGCACGACAAAAATTCATAATCCCGCTTATAAACACCCTTATGTTTCAGTGTCCACTAATATTCCTTCTTTAATCATGGGCAGAGAAGTAAAAGGTGCTTCTGTAAATGATAGGATTTCATCCGCAAAATCAAACAAGTGCCGCTTTGTCAGTTGCCAGACCGTGCTGTAACCGGTAACATTAAATCGGATATCAGCAACGCATGGGCGAAAATAGTCTAACGATCTGCTCAAGCCTAATAATAAGCGCCGCAGTGTCAAATTATGTCAATTACATTCGACCAGAATCACATTAGACTCAGCAAGATTTCACAGACAGTGACGAGATCAGAAAGACCGCCTTCAATATGGATAAAGACAAAGCATCTTCATCCAGTTACTACGAGCCATCCCGACACTATGCGTTAATAACTGTTGCTGCGATAGAATAACTGACGTTAACTCCAGATCTTTCAACGTTGGCACTGGTCTCCGCCAGAGTTACGATCTGTCCCCCTCTCTTGTTTCTGTATGTACAATTACAGGAAAAC